TTAAAAAAAAATAATTAAAAAAAATTTGAAAAAATATTAAAAAAAAAATTTTATTTTTATTATAAGAACTTTCTCAGAGATAAATGTTATTGCAAAATGAAGCCGCCATGTTTTTCTAAAATAATTAGGGTATGAATTATCTCCTACAACTTAACTTTACAGTTTGCCAAAACAATTTTGGGGACCTTTTTGATATTTTTCGGTATCACCACCTCTTTTGAGCACGTTCGACATCATCAGGTAATCACTTATCTATTATTTGTCTCGATGAAGCAGAGACCGGATAGCTAAACATTGGTTTCATAAATGCCAAAGTACGATATCCACCCTTCTGACAATATAAAAAGTAGCGTTAATAAAACAGCTGTAACTATATGAGTCATAGTTTCAATATCGTAAAATATTGATTGATGTCATTTGAATGTTTTCACTTTTTAAAATTCATATGAATTTTTTCGAGTAGCGCTGCCAGTGTATCATATTAAGGTTTTATCAGTGGATGTCATATGTTATTTATACCCTACTATGGGTATTAGAATAGAATTACGTTTTTAAAGAACTGCTCTTCGTTCAACGTGGAAAAAGTTTCTTTATGAAACCAAATATATTTAGTTTTAAGTTTTTGAAGGTTGTTTTTTTATTTAGAACTTAATAGTAGATTTGTTTTCCAAATATCATCAGATTAATTTAGTACAAAAAATAAAAATCAAAAGAATTTCTATTTTTTAAGAAGAATTTACATACAATTATCTGAGCAGTTTATTAGGCAAGTAATCAAAATAGTTTAACGTATATTATATATTATTACATTTTAGTTTATTTGAATAGAATTTAAAAAGTACACATGAAAAGGAAATGAGCACAATTCAAATTAAATTAAAGAAAAATTGTGTCACAAGAGTATTTAACTATTAGGGTCAATTTGTATGCAGCAATAAAATTGTGATCGACAGCAATTGCTGTTGTATTATTGTGCGAATCGAGCAACTAAATAATATTATTTGAAACGTGCAGTGTGTCAAGGAATAACAATTCAAACACCACCAACAACAGCCAACCCAAAACAGGAAAATTAAACAACATGCTACAAATACTGCAGAAGAATAAATACTTCAGACATTAGCAGCACAAGGATATGCGGGTCTGTAGTCCCTGTACTAATATTTCGGAATACACACAAATATTTTGTAACTCTACGTGCTGCTGTCAATATAAAACGAAAAATGCTTGAAGTTGACTTCATGCACAATGTGGTAACTTTGAAATATCCAAGCTTTCCAAAGGCAAAGTCACAGTTAACTGAAGGAAGGCGAAGTTATGTGATGAATTTCTTGTGGCAGTTGTCGCCGTCATTGCCGTCAACGTTCACAAACTCGTTCTCGAATCCTTATTCGTGAATCTCATCTTTATCGGTCTGAAGTTATTTCATCCCCACAAAATGTATGTGTTTATGCAACGAGCATCTTTATGACTCGACGGTATGCCGACAAGAGCAATTACAGTAACAACACAATTGGAACGAGTGCGTCTGGATACAAAGTGGTACAAAAATTCCTTTGGATTATATTGCGATTTTTGCACTGTTTTACAAAATTTTCACAGCATTTTTTCGAAAGCATGAAAATAAAAACAAAAGGAAATGAGTAGAAAAACCTACCCTTAGATATAAGGATTATGTTGCGCCTTTCCAATAAATTCTCTTCATCTATATACTTTTTGCAGTGTCATTCAGAGGTAGACAACAACAGCAACAGTAAGGAAAAAATAAATAAAAGCAAACTGAAGTAACTTGACTGTAGTATAAAGCAAGAAGTCATTCATAGCGAAACAACACTGAAAAGTTTCACGTCAAAAATTTTAAAAATATGTCCTGTACATTTATCTACCAAAGTAAATTTGCAGGCTCAAATTACAATTGCAAAGGTTCAATTTTATCACTGAATGAATCCATTTCTTTACTTTAGATTTTACTCATTCTTTTTTTGAACCTTTAGTCTATGTAAGCAATCGAGTATCTATGAATTGCAATGTTTGACTTCACTCTTCTGCATCAGGATTCAAATTTGCAAAAGCAAAATACATCAATTGAAGGCAAGATGTTAGGGATAAATTGCAGTAAAAAATTTTGATTAATTCATTTTAACTTTTTTAATTAAATGAATGGAATGGGATATGTCTAAGTTGTGTGGATCAAGAAAAACAAAGGATTTAATTACAATAGTAAAAAGTTCATTAAAAACGTAAAAAAGTTATGAAGTGTCTTTAGATATAACAACTTGTAATTAACAATTCTCTAAATCGTACAATTCAGATCATGTATGTAATTTATGAATAAAATGTCTAATGTAATAAAGTTATATTGAATCTTGAATGTAGTTTAAAAACGCCAATTCAGTAGATTTTTAGATACTCTGTAAAATAAATTATATCTCAATTCAATTGGATGTATCTTAAAACCAATATTTATCTGTCCGCGTGTTTATGTCTATGATAGTTTATTTTAAAGTAAGATCATTACTTCAGTCTGTTACTTCTGAACTTCCATATAAATTAAATAATTGTTAAAAGGGTTGGAACAGTAATAAAGAAACAACAACTAAAATTATTAAATTATTTAAATTAAAAAGGAAATTTTCCTGATTCTTTACATTTACTTACTATAACTGAATAAATTTATTTTATATCGTTTGTTTTTTTTAGCTGCATGAGAACTAAAAAATGTAATACAAGATAGAAATATTATTGAAATGCAATTTTTTTTAATTTTAATTATAATCTGGTAGATAATTTTATGGTATTTATTTTTTGTATATGATTTCCGGCATTTGTCCGCCATGACTACAAGTTAGATGGTCTATTCGATCAATCCAATTTTTGATTATTTTTTGCAATAAATGTAGCGTCAATGGTGGCATAAATATAGGCTTCCAACGCTTCAGGAGTTGCTAGCTTGCCGGCATAAATCAATGATCTAACAGGACCACTTTAGGAAATAATGTTGTTACCAAATTGTACATACCGCAAGTTGCGCTATCTTGTTGGAATCAAATGTGATCGATGTTTAACTCATTAATTATTGGAAAGAAAAATTCTGTCAATATGGTTCGATAGCGCTCACCATTCACCGTAACTGCAGCTCCTTCCTCATTTCGAAAGAAATAGGGACCGATCATTACGCTAACGTGTAAACCGCACCCAATTGTCAATTTTAATGGATATTATGGTGATACGATTACGGGTTGAGGATTATTTTCGCTTTATATACGGGAATTCTACTTATTGACGTAGCCATTAAACCAGAAATAAGCTTCATTACTATACACAATTCTTCGATAAAGTGCTCTATGAACTTCACAAACAGATTAATTTTTTTCAAAGTAAATTTTTACAATGTAGAAGCGTTGTTCTAGAGTTAAACGTGATTCATGATGAATTGTCAAACCTTACTGAACAGAAATATCAAACACAGTTTGACATTCTCATTTGTCAAACGATAGTTATCGATATCGATAGCTCTAACGCAACTAAAAAAAAAATTCGTTATAAAATAAAATTTCAACTTTAAAAAAAAGAAAAAAAAAGTGGTAATGGATTTGAATAATTAGTTAGTGTTAAATAAAAAAATTATTAAATAAATAAATTAATAAATACATAAATTAATAAATAATACGAAACTTAATCTCAATGCTAAGAACAGGAAACTGATATATAACCAAATAATTCGTCCGTCACTTTTATATGGTTGTGTAGCGTTTAGTAAAGCTTCAAACACTACTATTCACCAGTTAGAAATAGCACAAAGACAGGCTCTGAGAAGACTTTTTAAGATACCATGGTACATTAGGACGAATGACATCCTCAGGGACATCAATATTGATCTCATCAAAAAATACATAAAAGATAGAGCCCTGAAATTATTTGCGAAATCTGACAGACTTACCAACACCGCGTTATCAAATCTCA